CTCCTCAACCCTGTATTGGATAAAGTGGTTAGAAAATGGATGGGTGGATGTTGTGACACTTGGGAAATAAGTATCTTTCTTTGTTTTTACTTGTTCAGGTTTTACCTATGGATAATACATTTCAGGTGATGGTATAATCCTGGAGTAATACAGTATACCTGTTTCAAACTGGAGACTGGGATATCACTAAACTATGCTCAGTTGCATTTATCTGCTAAAATTGTTTTTATATAAAGAAGCTCACTTAGACAACCTGTTCTTAATGCCAAAAATGTAGCAGTGTGGTCATTTGGTTTCTCATTCCGTAGATGTTATGAGTTCCCATACCTGTGTGTTTTTTAAGTGTTACATTTTATTGATTGCTTTGTTTAAAAATCAGTCGATGAACACTGCATGATTATCATAAAATGAATCGTTGATATTAATCATTCATATGATGTCAAAACATTGCAGAGTTTATATTTTTATTAGAGGCTCTGACCTTAAAAGAGGTGCCCTTTGATCATCCATACCATAAATCATTATAGACAGGGTTGATGCTGTCCACAGACAACTACTGGGCTGTTGCTGAGAAACCACATTGTAAATGGGAAATACAATTAGTATTCATTTGTATGCCACACATGATATATTGTGGATGTAAAAAAAGATCACTGGAGAGAATCATTGCCAGGAAACGAAAACCTGAAACCTGATAACTGTGTGGCCAAATAAGAATTTATGAGTGTCCTGATTTTTAAAATAATTGCTATAACAGCTTTGATGGTACACTTAAAAATGCAAATATTTACGTCAAACTAGATTTAATACTGTCCGTTTTACTCTAATTCTTCTTTATTGAAATACTCTTTCAACTTGGTTAAAACAAACAAAAATTGAACGTGAGTAAACATCATACAATTTTGTAAATACAGAAAAGTGTTATATCATTAAATGTTTCTCAGCATTAAAACCAGTTATCATATCTTGAAGAGCCTAATGTTTATTCACTTCTTTCTTCTCTAAACAGTTGTTTCACTGAAGCTGTAACCGTAAACAAGTTGGAATGCAGTTGAGGTCATTTGCAGTGCAGAAGTATTTTTATCCTTTGCTGTCCCATTTTGTGAAATTAAAAAATGATGCTTCCACATCTTTATATTATTCAAAGCCTGAATTTGTATTTACTGACACACTCTTTCGGGAATTGCACTTCTATAGTAACAAACAGACTACTCAAACAGAAGATAAGATAGGCTACTGTAAATGTCAGCAGAAACTACAGAAAAATGTTGTTGATTGCATAAGTATTCATACCCACGAGCTCAATATTTGTTAGAAGCATCTTTGTCTGTTCTGTTCTGGGTTAGTGCAATATTTGCTATTCTTCTTGGCAGATTTGTTCAAGCCTACTCAGGTTACTTGGGAATTGCTTATGGACATCAATTTTAACGTCTTTCCACAGATTCCCAATAGGGATTTTCAATGGCACACTCCAGGACTCACAGTTACTTCTTTGTAAGCCATTCCAGTGCAACTCTGGATTATGGTCCTACTGAAAGGTGAATTTTTGCCCCAGTCTTTAGCAGATTGAAACACGTTCCTATAGTATTTGCTTGTGCTTTGCACTATTTTTCCTTCAGACTAAAAAAGCTTTCATTGTTACACAAGCTTTTCGCTGTTAAGGAAAAGCATCCTCATAGCATAATGCCAACCCTGCCCTTCTTGACTGGTAGAGATGGTTTTAAGTTTAAACCAAATATACCAAAAACATCCACTACCTCTTGTCACGTTTATGTAGGATCATTCAGATACTTTTTTCAAAACGCCATGCAGGTTTTGAGAGGGCTTATTTTCAGTAATGCCATCCTACTTGTCGCCCTGCCTCACAGGCCAGTTTTGCGAATAACCCTTATTTACAGTACAATAAAAGTTACATAAGAATAACTTTTATTTACAGTTCAAAGTGCCCTTCCAAAACCCAAGGACGCATTACATGTACAACAATCAGACAATCAGACATACGTACTGTAGGAGAGATTAGGATCTACCCTTCCACCCGAAATGTATATTGTAACTTATGTTAGAATTCACTTTTCTGCTTCAAAGTGGCACTACCATAATCTTTAAAGTAAAAAACTGTGAAAACTGTGCAGGGGTCTGAATACTTTTACAAGGTACAGCATGTGTCTTATATCAATTGTAAAAAAAACAGCAAACATGTGGTTTTCTTGTTAAGCAGGCTCCGGCTAGACTCAGTTCTGATATGAGCAGACCACAAAATATTTTTTAGAGCCTTTGACCTGACAAACCCTACAAGCCCTAACTGAGATCCTGTCCAAGTATGGCCCAGTTATGAAATACACTCAGACCTCTAGGTTGCACCTTACATAGAAGACTACTGTCTTACGGTAAAAAAAGAGGATGCATCTCATGTAAAACCTTAAGCTTTGATCTCCATGAAGATCAGAAAATAGGCTTATAAAATCAATTTATTTCAAAATAATGTCATAGTCCTTAATAAAGAATTTCTGAAAGACTGAATCTGATTTTGAACTGAGGCACACAATTCAATCCTGGGAAATAACCTCAAGACAAGAAATGGCACAGCACAGATCAAAACAAGCTCTTAATTTAGGAAAAAAATGAACATGCTAGTTCCAGTCATTGTTGAGTGCTTGAAAATGGCCTTGTACTACTTGCTTTTCACCATTGCTGTTCAGTGTCAGTCATGACTTGTGAAAGAATATCATTTGCAGTCTCCTTGCGATCTTTACTGTAAACGAATGGTAGGAGAAGGGAGAGCTCTGTCAATGCAGCACAAGCTGAAATTCAAGCCTCCAGCTCAATCTCAATGCTACCTGTAGATGCACAAGTGCCTGCTTTTGATCAAGCCCAACACAATCTGACAGCAGAAAAATGAAGCATTATGTTTTCTTAGACTCTTACAGAGTCAATAGTTTTGAAACAAAAAAGCACATGTTCAAGGAGCTTAAGTCACTGTAACTGAAGTTTATTGAATGGATTCTAGATTGGATGCTACATACACAACCCACATTCAATCCACAGCACACACAAATATATTGTAGAGGAACAGCCACTACAAAGGTAATGAAAGGAGTTTTTCATTCTTATATCTTAACCACATGTCTGTGAATACTTTTGTTGTAAATGAAGGCAGAAGCTTGGATAATGTTTTTTGGTGATATACTGTATCCCTAACAGTATATAGCAACTTTTAGTATTTAGTACAGTATATTTAATATGGAGCATTCATAATTGAGTTTTGAGAAATACATTTATACATTGAAAAGTAATTACAAATCCTTTTCCTATGTTTAAAGTTATCTAAGGAGAAAAGCATTTCTAGTGCACGCCAGCAGGTGTGTATTTTAATTGAAACATGTTTTACCCCTGGTAACAGAATAATTGCAGTTCCCTAAATAACTCATTTGTACTATTCATAGAGATCAGATTATGAGTGTTATTTTTCTAATTCTAACATATCACATCTTCAATTTTTTGGACAATTTCCAATTGTTTTCTGCTTGTACGTCATTGAAAGATTGGAACAATTAGGATAGTAAAATTAATTTAAACTTGTAGGAAGAATGGAAAAAAAGCATCAAACTTTCAAAAATATTGATGGATATCAGCAAAATAAGGAATGTATTTAAGAACCCTGTGTAAATTGTGTTGTGTTAATGTATAGTACTTTATTACTATATAAAGGCAAAATAATATTTGGTGACATTTTGAAATTAATAGTAGTTTTGTCCTTTTTCAAATTTTAAAATTATGCGAGTTTCCCAAATTGAAAAGTCCTTACATTCTTACACCTGAAAGTTAACATACAGAGGAATCACAATATTTCATATTTTTATATTTGTTCAAATTACTTTGTGTGAATATGAAGCTAATTAGGCTAAGTATAAAGTTAAGCAGGCCTTTTCATTTACCAGTACCTACTGATTTCTAGAGTGCAGAAGTAAGGTCACCTTGTTAACAGCTGGAATTGGTGAACTTACCAGACTAAATACATTGTTTTTACAGCACTGGACCAAAGGGATTTTCAATTTAATTTTATTTTAACCTATTAACAATGCTGTGCAGCTGTGGTACTCTAAGAGGTGTTCTCAGGGAAGAATGTCCAGTTTTCCATGATGTTCTCAACTAGATTAAGTTGATAGAAAGACACCACTATAACAATATTTTCCTCATTTATTATTTATTCCACAGCTGCTTTTATCGGCTTTTGACAGGCATTTTCCAGTATTTCTGGTAGGCAGTAGTTAATTCTTCACAGGATGTGCCCGCTCTTCAAATATGCTGCAATTTAAAATGCAAATGTATCAATTAAATTAAATAATTCACCTTTAAGCCATTTCAAATAAAGACTACCAATAACCAAACATGAATCCAAGGAAACTCTCTACTTACTGTAATTCTAAATATCCACACAAATTTCTTGACATGGTTTTCCATACTTGAAAGTGGGATTCATGATAGGATTCAGGGGTTTTTTAAGGTTTTTCTATTACCATGGAAAGGAATGACATACTGTACACTAGGCATTTCCTATCCCGAAAAACCCACAGAAAAAGACGAACAAATGGTACCTAAACAATTAGGCCTTTTCTTTACACCCATCATGCATTCGTAACTCACACATTGTTAAATAAACAATAAATAAACTAATATCATCCATCCATTTTCTAACCCTTTCATCAAATGTAGGTTACAGGGGAGCCGGAGCCTATCCCAGCAAGCAATGGGCACAAGTCCGTAACAGGGCAAGTAACAGTAATATTATACTTAAAATTGCATTTATTTCTAAAAATTAAAACAAATCAAGTTTGTGTAATACAATAATCAGTATTATAATCAATGAATTTGACATACAGTAGACATAGTAAGATATGACTAAAACAGCATTATGTGTTCTTCTGCTTGTAAAGGAACACAAATTTAGCACTGCAAGATCAGTCAGGAAATCATGACAAATAATTTGAACGCAAAGGAACTGACTGTTTTGTTGTTTTATTTTGCATTTGTCGGTCTTGATGTAAAATTCAATCACAAGCTGATCATAAAAAGAATGACATTAAAATGCAGTTAAGCTGTGAAGAATCACATTAGCATGAATTTCACAAAACAAGAGCCCAAAGGCATTGAGATTGTTTCATAATGGCTTAAATTCTATATATACAATACAAATAAAATGCGTATTTAAACAAACAAAAAGGATCATTTTCAGGCAGCTAGAGGTTCTTCTCTGTCATATATTGATTTAAACAAAGGAATATAATTGAAACTTCCAGCCACATAAAAGTATTATTCTTGTGAAGCTTCAAACCTTTTTCATTAGTCACAACCCAGTTCTCTCACCTCACAGTGTGTAGTTTGATTGAGAACAATCTGAAGTCTTGGCATTGTGGAAAGTAATTTTCACAAGATATTGTTTTTTTAAAGTGCAGAACATAAAACTGGAGGAATATAACAATTCTGTTGGGACACAAATCATGTACATGGATACAATTGTTCACACTCAGAAAAAAGAGACACTGCATTCTCCTTCCTTCCCATTTCTCCTGACTTAGCTAGCTTCTGAATCACAAATTCATTTTCTGTGGTTCCAGGGATGTAGCAGAGCTCGTTTCAAACATGTCCAATGTCATTTGTTGGCAATATGTGTGCTCCAAATCAATATTCAATTATTAACAGCTCGCACCTCACATCAAATTTCAAATACATACACAGTAACGTTTCAATCCAGGTTATATGTACATTTTCATTACACTTTAGAAGACAGTGAATATTAGATATGCCATATTAATTTTAGTGCACACTGCGTCTTATCCTGATTTTTCATTATTCTTAATTGAGACATGTCTAATACAGCAGAAACAGTAATAAACAAAAATGTAATAAATGATGAGCTTTAAAAAAGAAGGCTAAATATCTGCATCTATTCAATGGGTAATAAATGCTTTTACATAAAATTACTGTATTTTATTTTAGTGCAGGCATATTGTGAAACAATGATACCCGAAACAATGTACATAAGTGGGCTTGCTATTTTGTTATGAGTTTTTGTCATTTCAAAAACAATAATTAGCTACTTTAATAAATTAAAAATGTGTGCAAATTACAAACAAATACTAAAGGCATTCTAAAATTGTTCACACTACACTGTATATATTTTCTAGGATTTATACACATGTGCATTTTACGTGCAATATACAAATACCCAAAGACAGTTTCATAGGTAGCCGGTATGGATGGGTGCCTTTAGGACAATCTTTATTGGAAAATCAAATATGGTGAGATAAAGCCTACACTTTTATTATAATCTGCCATCTTCAATTCACAGAAATGCTCTTCAATGTGACAGTATGTCTTGGTAAAATTATTAACACTAATGGTCAAAATCACAGGTTCTTAAACACTATTGAAAGAGCAGTTCACAGCCCATCTTCCCTGGTGATGGTTAGTGGGGTACTGGGCTGTTTCTAAAGGGGACACTCCGCCAGCGTGTTTTAACAAACCTAGGTCTAAAATAGGAAAACAGTTTTTGACAGTAGGAGAATTAAACACTGATTTTATTATATATTTCCAGAACCGGTGCAATCTGTTCAAATACTGTATTTCAGCCAGGGCTGTTGACATACCCTTTAAAACGTGTTATAAAATTTTCATCCTTAAACAGTGCTGCCACATACAGTATTTTAAATGTAAAGGACTGTTAACTGTATCCTTTGTTGTTCAGGGTCCAAAAATGCTCAATTTTAATATCTCCAAAAGTTTGAAGCTCACTTGCATTTGACATTTATAATAGTTGAAAAAAGCAGAAATAACAGAAATCACACAGAATAAGTAGAGCAGCACTGGGACTCAATGAAATGTTTCACATTTGATGTTTACCCAAGGACGAACCATAACAGTTATATCATCAAAGATATAAAAATATTCCAAACTTTGTGACAATAGTAGATAATAATGAAACAGAAAAAGAATATATGTTTTAGCATTATCACTAGCAATAACTACTCTGCTTAAGTAAGCTTTACTGTTACAGCCCTGCACTGGTCTCAGAGGCTCTTGTGTGGTTGTACACTTGGCCCCTAATGTCATGCAAACTGCCTGCTTCCAGTAATAAGTAGGCCTCATGGTATAACTACAGCCCAGCTATGTAGTGGATAATCCTGCGACACATTAAAATTAAAGTCATTGTTTAATGTTCCTAGCTTTCCCTGTTTAAGCCATTCCTTTCATATTTACTCTGCTGGTTGCTGCACTTCCAGTCAAGGCCTTGTGAAGTACAGTAATAAGAGATGACAGAATGCAATAAATGTGTACACTGTTTCCCTGGTTCATTTCCAAAAAAATGAATAAATAAAGTCCCCTAGACAGATGGAAGCATATTGGTTTGCAGAGGGCATTACTGAAACAATGTCTCTTTTTTTTGAAAATTGAAATTCTTTTTAAAGTTCACAATTCAAAAAAAATAAACAATGGGGCAGATCCAACCTCTTTACAAGTGTGTTTGTTTACAACAGACGCGCTTGAGCACTGGAGGATTGATAGTCATATTTTGACAATTTTGACTGAGGTGATTCATCCATTTATTGATCAAGGGCTCCTCTCCAAACATCCAAATGAAATATGGTTTTAATATTTTAAAGTTAACCTTTAAAAGCTTTAAAAAGCAAAAGCCAGTAGCTGTAGCACAGTGTTCTTTCAATTTTACTTCTATTTTACCTTTCTATTTCAAAGGCAGGCAGGATGTGGAAGATTTATACAACACAGAGAAATATCTCCTCTGTATGACATGGCACACAGTGGTTAGCATTGTTACCTTGCCATGCTAGGGTCCTGAGTTCACCTCTGGGCCTGGGGTGCTCTCTCTGCATTGTGTTAGTACAGTATGTTCTCCTAATGTTTGCAAGGGTTTTTGCCAAGTTCTCCAGTTTCCTCCTGAAGTCCACAGACATGCTGTACTGGTTAAACTGGACATTCTGGGAACACTGGCCCTGGTGTGAGTGTGTGTACAGTATGTGTGTTTGTGTCTGTGTGTGTGTGTCCTGCAATGGACTTGTGTCCCATCGAGAATGTATCCCACTGTGCACCCTCTGCTTGCTGGGATAAGCTCTGGCTCTCCCGGAACTTTGTTGGATAAAGAGGTTAGAAAATGGATGGGTATCTCCTCCTTTATAAATAGGTTTTATTCTGAGAAGACAGGTCAAAGCACACACAGGAATACAGAGTTCTGGTGTCACAGCATGTAACTCCAATGGTGCTTGAATACATTTATCACTCAGATTTCTTCACACTGTTCTCAAAGAAACATACATGACAAGGTGTGTCACCATTGGATTTTCAACCAACAAAGCAGACCACAGCACCCCATACAAAATAAAACAAATTTTAATACTACACAACGTAAACGTCTCTCTCAGGCACTCGAAACATATACAAGATTTTGTTTTCAAAGGATGTTTTAATTATTGAAACTTACTGTTTTAAGAACTTAGGAAGAAAGAAAAATGCAGTATGGAACATTCACTTGATGCACACACATTTCCGAATCTGGAATGCCAAGGTTAAGTCTTACAGTATGTCCTTCCCCACAGGTCAAACTCACGTGGTGTCAGAAGAGGAGTCAAAGGAGCCAGCTATGACAAAGTTAGTGCCACTAGAGGTGGTGGTCATGGACTGAGAGGCCTGCTGGCTGAGGTTGTTGCAGATCAGCACCAGCTGATTGCTCTGAGCCTCGGAGAGGGTGCTGCAGCTCTGGTAGACGCTAAAATTGGTCTTCCGACCAGGGATGTTTCCCTTCTCACACATGGTCTTCACCATCTTGGCCAGCTTATTCTTTCCCAGAGCCTGGCAGTTGTACCAGTGCAGAGCAGCCAGATTGACCACGGGCTTGATGGACAAATAAAATGGGGCGTCCTCATAGCGCATAGCTGGAGGCCTCCTCTGGGCATATTCCTTGTAGTCCTGAACAGGACAGGTTTGAGGCGCGTGGGGTGTGGCATAGATCCGACACTCGGTCCCGGCCCTCTTGGTCTTGGCATTGGCGTCCGATGACTCCTGGTAAGTCCACTCCAGACACTCCAGGCCTGTCTCAGTAGAGCGCAGCCTTATGTCTCCCCACCTCAGTGTGGAGCCGTGGAAACCTGTGCAGTGGCCAAAAGCCTTAGTGTTGTTCAGCCACACAAGGTTCAGAAGCCCCTCTGGGTTGAAGCGACTGAGGAGGCCCCTTTTCCTCAGGATCAGCTCGTCAGCAAAGGTGAGTTTCATGGACTTGTGAGGCTTGTTGCCCTTCCCCTTGAACTTGAGCTCTAGCTGCTTCTGCTTAAGGGCCTCTTGGGAGCGTCTGAATTCTTTATCCCTGGTGATGCTATACCCGTACCGATGTTCTTTTAGGTATCTCTCCAGGCCACACTGATAGTTGGCCAGGCTGTTAGGTTCATACTCTGAGCCATCTTTTTGTCTGGCATCCACAAAGAAGGAGGCCAAATAGGAATCCAGCTCATTACATGGAATCACATATATCTCCCGGGTTTCAGAGGGGTACTTGGAAATCAGGAACTCTCTGAAGTTTCTAAGTGCAGTCTGAGTGCTCCGGATGGTCTTCTCATTCTGTTCCCTGTTAGCCTCAGCTTGCTTTTCGTCGAGCTCTATTTAATAAAAAGAAAGAATTGAAACAAAAATAGAAGAAAAAATGTCAGCCCTCAGGTGGTATAATTTCTGGTAAAAAAAATGGTTGAAGCTGGTGGATAAAGGGTACCACATGCCCGTCTTTTGTTTGTAAAAGCTAGCTCCAGTTTCACAAATGATGTACCAAAAATCAAACCCAAAAAATTAGGGCCAAAAATCTAAGTGAGATCCTCAAGCCCAGCTGTCTTAGGGCATGGAAGTCAACAGGAAAAAAATGGAAATGAAAACCACCTCCGACGTTAAAGAAGAAACATCTGGAATCATATTTTAGACTTTGATTTTTGGCAGCACAATTTTTGTGCTGTTGCTGGTTATGCTGGTTACTCATTTGTGAAACCAGAGGTTCAGATATTGCACTGGCTCCAAATAATCTTTCTAATGTGAACATTTATAAAAGGGCATATTTTATTCAATCACTCATTCTGGAATTCTAATTTAATTGTTGCATATGGCTTTATGCAACAATTAAATTGTAGAGTACTCCATGCACAAAAGCAGGCATTGACGAGGCAACCATCTTCATTGTAAGAAAACAATTATTAAAGAGCAATGCCAATAACAGTCATGTATTGTAAAGCAAGTTCCTAATGAAAGAATCCTGTACTCTCAACTGCCCTTGAGGGCCTACAGCTGTAGTACAGTGGGTCTTCACATAAATGAGTCAGTAATCAAGACCAACAGTTACTAAGCTTTTAAGCTTAACTAGTTTAAAATGTTTGAATTTTTTACAAAAAAATTGAATTTAACTGCCTTAAACATCTAAATTATGAGGTAACTGAATAAATGCTATCATATTACTATTAAAATGTTGTGCAAATGGTAATATAAATATTGTACAAAAAAGGAACAAAAACATACCAGCCCTTTGTTGCACTGTCTGCATTTCGTGGAAATACACAGGCAGATTCCAAGCGTCCGTGTGTGCATACACTAGATCATGTGTTTACAAAGCAAATGTCTCCATGACATAAAAATGTAACTAAAACAGACATAAAAGTACATACAACAAAAAAATGAACTACACAGTCTGCTTACTTAGCAGTATGTGTATTTCAAATACCATTTATACTTGGAAACCAAAATGACAATGGCCGATATTTTTTAGCCTAATTTACTATTTTTGGTGTGTTTTGTTATGATGTCCTTGCCAATAAATGCCAAGGCAAGAGCAGTTACTGTTTTGAACAGAATTATTATGTAATATGTAACTGTTAAGTATCTGAGTTAATAATTAAATTCCTTGTCGCATAAAATAACAAAAGAAGTAAGCAACAGGCCTTGCCACAGGCCATGAGCTCCGACACTGCGGAGTCAACAAAAAAAAATTTGGGTGGGTTTCTTTTCTTTGGCACCCGTTTTTAAGGTCATCAAAATGTACTAGATTTTGAAAAGATTATCAGTTTTATAAATTGATACTTACATGTCATACTGTGTATCTGCAAAAAATCTCTATATTACAATGCACCTAATATAACGTAAGGCAGATATTTTTTTGTTTAATATTATATAACCATTTTTGTTTGATGAACGTCACTTTTCTTTTGATTTATTTTTCTTTTTTTCTGATTTTTCTTTTTTCTACAAATAAAGTCAGGAATTCTTAACATGAGTAGATGATTCTACAGTAAAGACTAGTCTTACAAGAGTTAAAAGCTACAAAGTGAGAAGAAATATACTTTGATACACCCACTGCATGTTCTTAAATCAAATTTACTACCTGTCTGTTTCTCAACTGAGCTGCAAGACACCCATAGAAAAGTAATTAAAAGAATAAATCACAGTGAAAAGTCTCCAGCAAAGCTATCAAACCTTAATTTATATGAAACAGAACACAAGGTAGAGAGGTATCACATTGAGATTTTGCTATTAAGTTGATGTATATTGTAGTGTATATTGTACAATTCAAAAACGAGAGCACTGTGCAGCATGATTTGGGGTACATCACTACAAAATACTATGTTTTTCGCCAGAATACATCTGTTTTTTAGTGCCAGAATAACGTGAAGCACAGAAAGCAATCACGGTCAATTTACCTTCCGCTATTCATGTGCTGTAAACCAGCACATCACATTAGTGCAAATTGTGCTGTTTCCCAGTCTGAAGGTCAGGCTCTGTGGAATTTATGAGCAAAATAACACAGAAACTCAAACAGCTCGCTACACCACACCAGGCAACCAACTGTGTGACTCCTTCAAAAAACTGCTGTATTCATCCCATATACATCTCTATCCTAAACCATAACTGATGGCTTTGCAGCAGAATCCTTGGGTGTTCTCAAGTTTTGCTGGTATTTATTTGCGCATTTGCTGTTCAAATGGAGAGATTGTGTGTGCATGGCTAGGAATTCAAAAGTAAACCTTTATAATGCATGGAATTTATTGACCATAGGGGTGATAAAGCTGTATATCTGAGACATGACCCTGTTTTGTGAGAACTACTGCTATAGCAAAATGTATATCTCCCTCAGCTTTTGGAAACTTTGATGAAATTGTCATTTTGAGAATATTAGGTATTTTCCTACATAATATAATAATATTATAATATAATAATATATTTCCTACTACTATAAAGTGAATCCACAGGATTGTAACAATGCTCTGAAATGGTTATTTCTGTCTTTATGTTAGAATTGACCTTATTTACTTATTAATTTGTCAACTGATCCACCAGATCATTTGACCAGCTACCTCAAAAGATCCTCAGCTCACATATTGCGGTCCAGCAGCACAAGAATTAAGACAACTCAGTGGCTTAAAGTGATCCAACATCTGGAACTTTAAATCTAACAATTACTGTATGTGTCCCTTTTGCAAAAGTGCCAGTCAGGGTTAAACTCGTGGCTCCTGATAAGACTCCCTTGATAAATTTAAAGTTGTCAAATGACCTGAAAAATGATTCCTATTCTACATTCTACAGAATGTCACTTGGAAAAACTGCCTTGACTAGACATATTTTCAAGTGCTGCTTCTGCTTTACTGAGAAAGGAACCTTATAAATCACCCAAGAGAAGTGTGGAATCAGCGGTTTTGCTCTGAACACTCAGGCATTGCCATATTTTACAATTCTAAAATCAGAAAGGTGTGAAGACGTCTACTGATAGATTGCTCAGCTTGTCATTTCAAACTGGTAGAGGGAAGTAAGCTGGGGCTTTGAGATGTAAGACATGGTAATATTGCATGGGTAGCTTTTATTTTTAATAAACCTGTTCTCCCTTCATTGCTTTAACAGACCACTTCTGGGGTCCACCTTTCTTAATGAATTATCTACATCCTGATTCAAAAATATACTGTTTTTTCCATCATCATTCAAGCAGGTTCAGTCACTGCAGGAAAAGAAAGGACCTACTACAGAATGCTTTTAGTGTTACAATGGTATTTGGACACACCCTCAAAGTACATTAAGACACAGAAAACAGAGCATGTTTCTTTGACCTAAAAATAGCCACATTCAACAGCCACATGCTATTGATAGATAACTAAATTATGCAAGTAGCTGTGCATGCCAACACCAGCCAAGCAGGAATTTACTTTGAATAATATGTAGTTTTTAGCTTTGGTTAGTTTAAAAAACACAAATTAATCCACACAAGAATGTAATATCTAGTATAAGAGAGATCACAGAATTAATAGAATTGTGCACATCACAATATCAGAAAAAAAAGAGATGATATTAATATTTGCTCCCTTGAAATGGAATGTAGTATTATACTGTTAATCCACATTTCTGGTACTATAATAGTGTAATAATTTTGTAGCAGAGTAATAAGACATAATATTAAAAATAGACAAATATTTCAAACTAGTGTAGAAGTGCATACTGTACTACAATCACATTAAGAAATTAATATTTGACTGGCTTTATCTTGGAGGTGATGTAGTGTTATTTCTACAACATTTTTGTAACAGTTAACATTTTGGTGACCAGCTGAAAACTTTGTAATGTAAAACATCTTGATGTAAACTCTGATGGAGCTCTCCCATTACAGTGACCACAGGCAAAATAAACACTACCTACATATACAGTATGTAGCACTGTTTACGTCATGTTTACGTCAAAGAAAAACACAAGTCCACACAAAACCTTCAAAAGGGACTTAATACACCTACAATGGAATGTATTGAGTCTGCTTCATCTTCATTTTATCATGTATTACTTTCAATAAAAATGACCCTAGAATCTCAGCAGGAAACAGGTTTTGATAATGGCATGTTTAAGCCTAGAGGATTAAGACAGCCAAAAACAGGGACTGAATACAGGGACTGGCACTCAATATAACTATAGTTTTATACAGGGTTAGTTTTATAACACCCGTAAAACAGTATAAAACTGTAAAACTATAGTATTATACTGTTGTTTGTGAAAGCTGTAATACCAATACCAAAAACATCAAAGTTTTGTGAAGACTTTCACTCTGGCATTATTCATTGAGAACTTTGTGCATGTATGGTTAGCTGTCATGTCACCTTGAAAGCAAATCTCAGAAGTTAAGCAAGGTTGGGTCTGGTCAGAGTTTAGAAGAGAGACCTATGAAAAAAAAAACATTTATGGGTGTGTCCTTGAGGTAAACTGTAAATCGTAACAAATTCATAAGCATACTGACAGTTAAGAGAGGTTATCAATGAGATGAGACATTAACACTCTTTATTGAGTATCAGCACAAATCCTGCTGTCAGCTCGTCAAACAAATTCTGCCTTAATTCCTCCTAAAATGGTTTAAAGCGCCATACCTCACCTTCCCTAGTTCTCTACGTCCTTCCTATGGTCTTAAAACATTATTGCGCTATCTTCGGGACCTTAGAGCACACTTTAGAGAAGTTATCACAGAGTGCGTTGATGAAGTACTTTACCTGATGCTTCAGCTTTGGCTTCGGCACTGGAGACATGAGATACGCTTTGCTGCTGGCTGGAGCTGACCTCTGGCTCCGTGTTAATGGTAGCAGGAGAGGCAGCCATGTCGCTGGGGGGAACAGACTTAGCGGCGGGTTTCACATGGTCTTCATTGGGAAGAGGCTGCGAGTGCTCATCCTGGCCTGGAAACTGCAGGGCAGACAAGGGAATGTTGATGTGCTGGCTGGCACCAGATGTACTGACAGGACCCTGGAGGGCGACGGGCTGGTGGGGTGGGTGCACGTTCATCACCAGCTTGCCGTGCCCAGCTGAAGGAGGGGCACACAACTGCTGCTGCTTGGCAACAGCTGCCCGGGAAGTGCTGTTGTTTGGGGGAGATCCCACTGGATTCCCATCCACAGGGATGGAGGAAGATGTCAGGAGAGCAGGCTTTAGAGGCACAACAAGTGAAGGCAAAGTACCAGAAGGATGATCTTGGGATTTCTGCTTCGTGGACTGGGTGAGTGACAAAGCAGGGCCATCAATACCTCCTGTAAGTTCAGCATTGGCTACAATATAATAGTCCTCAGGCATCTCCTGCTTGATTTTCTTTACTGTCATGTCACCAACTCTGTCTTCTGAGCTCTGGCAAGAAGAAGACAGCTGGGTAGGCAGCAGGCCTGGATTGAGTCTCTTTCTAATGGCTGTTTGAAGCCTTTGTGAATGAGGTTCAAAGATGCTGTCTTCGTCCGTGACAGAGGATTCACACACGATATCAAACAGGGCACTGTCCCCTTCGTACTCCTCGACATTGTCGTCCGCTTCTGAGGGCTCGCTACAGTAGGAGAAGTCGCAGGAGTCCCGTGTCTGGACTGAGTCCGCCTTGCCTTTGGCTTGTCTCCCCAGGAACCTCTCCTCGGGGCTGTGCTGTGTCTCGGAGCTGGTCCCCAGGAGGCCGGGACTACCTGAGCCGAAGTTGCGGTTGTCTGGGCAACACGCACGCTCCTGGGACCCGGCCCGGCAGGTCGATGTCAGCGGCCAGTGGTAAGCGTGACCAGCACTGCAGCCCCACATGGCCGTCAGGTTGCCATGGGAGCCCTCGGAGAGCAGGTGCTTCAGGCTGGGGATGAGGTTACAGATGGTGCCATGGCTGTGGGCCCAGCTCACCAGTTTGGAGAGGTTCTCAGAAGATGTGTGCAAGCAGTCCTCCATGCTGTCTGGACTCACTTACCTGACAAAGAAAGAGGAAGAACAAAGGTTTATTACATCCCTACAAAACTCTCCAGCTGCAATATAATGTCTATGCTATAAAATAAAACAAAGGTATTTAAAACCACACACAAATAAACCATACTAGACATGGATACTATGTTTTCCGGTATTTGCCAAAATAATGGAATATGCAGTTTGACTTAGGCTCCAAATACCTTATTCCAAAATAAGACAAATGCATGACACCTCTCCTATTTGTGAACAATTTCTGTGGCTGTCACAGCAGGTGTAAGAACAGCTTCAGTGGCAGCTCATTACTAAGATGAGCTTTGCATTGACATCTTATTAAATTTGGTTTACAGTGTTGTACATCAAGATGTGGAATGCTCAGAAATTGCAAATGAGATCTGAATCTAGGTCAAGTATGGTGTTATCTGGGTTCTTGTTAGTTGGTATGGTTAGGAGTGGAAATTGTTTCATACATCATTTTCAGACTTGTTTTTGCTCCAAGGTGATCTGATCACGCCATTAATAATAATATTTTAATTTTACTATTTTTTAAATAAATGTCCTATCTGCAATGTGTGCTTTTATTCTAAAGTATTTTAGTGTAAAACTAAATGAAATGCAATGCACCATAAATAAACAAATATTAACTGAAGGTGCCCACAAAGCCGATACACACCACAAAACGACTAATCAAATTTCGAAAATGGGCTTTTCAAATGTTGAAGAAAAATAAAACAGGGTTAAACCATTGTTTCCAATGAGGAAAACAGTAATTGAACCTTTGAAAAAACAATGATCTACTAAAAAAACAGTAACAGTACAATAATACAAACAATGTTGATTTTTTTTAAATAAAAGGATTCTACACCAACTGCAAATTCCGTGTATGCTTTAAGTGTAAAATTGCAGGTGACATCCTGTATTTCTGTATGTCTGTGGCACAGAATCCATTTTGGACAATGTCAATTCTCCACTCTAAATGATTAAAATAGTCAATGATACTACATGTATTGCAAAAACCATGAAAGTAGTCAATTTTTGTCAATTCAATAAACCACAAATATCAGAGTAAAGTACATGAAGTATGATATGCATCAGATATAAAGTACTGTAAATAAAGAGCAGGAAAACAATGAAATACAGGAAATTAATTTTATAAACAGAAGAAATACAAACAAAGAATGACACATTTGAGTTCTTTTTTCTACAACCCCAGTGGAGTCTTACAGCACAGACTTCCCTTATTGCACATAAGACAATGTGTACTGTACATGGTGTATTTTGGCATTCATTGGTGATTTCATGTACGTTTTCTTTCCATTTCTTCTTGACTTCAGAGCTTGCTGACCTCAGAATTATGACACCAGCCCTTCTTCAACTGGGAAACTGTGCTTCTGTCAGGCTGGTTGTAAAGGTGGACTTATATATTGTGCGACTGGCTTCTTCTATTTCTTTTCTCATTCTAGATGAATATCCCAGTGACAAGAGCTACTTCAGCTAGCCATGCATAATGACCTAATGCAGCAGTGCAGGATGAAGGTGTCGGTGAAATAAAAATTAAATCAGAAGACGAGAAGGATCATCTATAATTGTGCACATGTACAATGTACAGTATAGATATTGTCATGATCGTCATCCCTCCTCTTAAGGGCGCACCCGTCCAGGAGAGACCCAACAGCACAGGCTTCATCACGGCGTCCTGACCATCTGAGTCCGGGGCACAGAGCGCCTGGCCTCGTTATCCTGGTTTTTATTCCCTGTTCCTGTTCAGAATCCCATTTCGGATTTTAACTGTGCTTGTTTCGTCTTGGATGGATCCCAATCCACTGGTTTTGGATTCCCCGGACCGGCTTCTGTTACAGATATGGCCCAGAGTGCACTAAAACCAGGATGATGCCTGCATAGAATCAGCTTTGACATTAAACGCCATACAATATAAACTAAACAGTTACCCAAAAAACTCTTATGTCGCGAGAATTAATGTGTTTGAAAATGTTTATTGGGATTCAGGCATGGGAAAACTTCGCTTAACTTGTCTGACTTAGGTCCAACCCCCCTAGATGTAGGATAAGGGGGCTCAGACCCCCATTCTGAATGAAGAGTTACCCAAGGGGTAATTGTAAAGGCAAAAAAGGCAAATGTAAGACTAAGAGAAAGAGAGGTTTATGGTATAACCAGTTTCAGTAAATGACATCTGGGATGATTGCAAGTTAGGGCAGCTGAAATGAAAGAGAACTTGGTTGCTCTCACACTCTCAAACTTTCATTTCAAACTCCATATAGAGCAGAAATAAAAAATAAAAAAATCATATTATTTCTTAGCTTATTTTAAGGAAGCCGCACAATGTATACACAATGTTTGCAGGTCCATACAGTGTTTTTACAGAATATACACACAGACCCTCATCAGACCTCATTGTCCCATATCTTATGTCCTGTGTTTCATGAAGAAACACTGTAAAGCCTCTATACTATGAAGAAAATACTATTAGAGCAGGAGACATTATCCATGATTAGGTCTTGACATTTATTACATGGGCACAGACCACTACATTATACTGTATACTGGAACAAATATGATGTTACTGAGATGTTTTATCTCTGACATTTGAACAGTATTTTAAATATTTCACATTCCTCATAAATTTCAATGAATGCATTTTCAATGTAAATGACATTCATACTTGCTACATAACATATAACAACAAAATAGACTCAATAAACTTGAATAGTCTGAATGAGTTCGTTGATCTTTTCTTGTTGTGGAATCTGAATTTAGGAAATAATAATAAACCACATACTGTAGTTTGTTCAAATCACATATCAGACTCATGCAGTTGTGACTTGTGATCATGTTTGAAAATGAATAACTTTGACTTATTATTGGCAACCAGAATATTTAAATTCAGAAAAGGGTATCCATATCTATTCAAGTCAGCTGGAGTGTAAAAACAAGTGTTCATGAACAAAAAAATAATTACTTTCAAACAGAAATGTTCTACTTCTAGAAATACTACACCAATTTCTCTTTTCAACTGACTGATAACAATTGCATTTCCGAAATACTTAATTGGATTCATATGTCTTCCCCAATCTGCCCTTCCTCCCACAAAAACAATATTATGAGCAGCAAGTAAAAACACTTGTAACACTATTGTTCATTCAAAAAACAACGTTATATCTCCCAAGGAGACTACAAATTAAGCACAAACTGCAGATAAACAGCTGCTTCTATGGAAAAATAATGAGACTTTAATCAGAGATACTGTGCTGTACTGGTACTATCAAGCATCCTAATATTACATATAATAAACAGAACCAGTACACCAAAAACTGCACATAAAGCCTTCTGAATTTAGATTATCCTGTACTCTCACTATTTAATTAAATTAACTGTTTACATATCTGAACCTTACCTATTTTTTACAGTTCTAAAGCAGCTCTAAAACTGCAACCCCCAGATAATTCCATTTATCATTTCACTTCTGTAAAAGCAAGGTCATTCGGTGTCAAAATGTTCTAGGTTTTTACTGTTTATCATGAAATGTTTGATATGATATGAGGTCCAAAAACAACTGGAATACCCAGTAAAAGACAAAAAAAGAAAAGTTGAGGTGCTCATAAAGGGAGAGGATTTTATACAGTATCTGATTCTGAAGACAATGCAGAAAGTTTAAGCCAGTCCAATAACAATGTCCTTGTTTTTTAGACTAGGGTTTTGCAGCATGGATCCAATCCCACAGCAGAGATCTGGAAAACACGTTCATGTGCACTGTCAAAGCAAAGAACTAGTTCATCCATCCATTTCCTATTCGCTCTGTCCAACAAAGGGTCGCAGGAGAGTTGAAACCTGGCAGCCAACGGGCATAAAGTTGGGTACACCAAAGAAATAATCTACACAAGAGCCAATTAATCTACCTGTACATCTTCGGACTGTGGGAGTAAACCAGAGCACTCAGAGGAAACACTATATAAACACACAGAGAATATACAAACTCCAACCATATATACTGTAACCCCATGAATTGAACCTAAGGCCCCAGCACTATTTGGCAGCAGTGCTAACAACTGTGCCACTGAACTAGATGTAATGAGACAAAGTGAAGATTCCCCAGAGCTGAACATAAAGACCTCTGATTTGGCCTCACCAGTATGGAACAGACACCTTTTGTAATCAAGAGGGATCTGATGCAACGCATTAACAGTTAAGTCAGCATGTTAAAATTACAAAAAAGATCACACTTCACATTATCAATATGCAATAAAGCAGATGTAAATAATGAATCTCAAAAAGTAAATTAAGCTTTTTCTTATCATTCCTATCAGAAACGTGCTTGAAAATAAAGATATTCAAATATATTGTGGACTCATGAACATGTTTGTAGCTATGTGAAAATAAAATATGCCTTTTTATTATGGAATGCATTTTGAAAATAAATATCTAGAAAAAAAATGTCAGACATCTAGCTGAATGTGCACTAAATTTACATGCTACACAGGCAAACAAGACCTGGTGTAATTTCAGAGAATATCAGTCTTTTCCAAGTTAATTACACAAACTATATTATTGGAACTATTAAATTATGCTTTTGCATGCATCTTTGTTATTAGAAATCAATGAGGCAAATTAAAATATATTACAGACAACAGTGGAACGCCAAGTAATTACTATTCAGGGATATGAACATGCCATGTTCATTAATTTATTAAGAAAATGTATTTTCTTAGTAAAGACATGCCAGCAAGAACTCACCTACATTCAATTATAACAGAAGCACCTTTGAATTGTCAGAGAGATTTTAATCAAAAATACATCTTAGATCCTATGGAGCATCCTCAATGAAAACAAAAGGCAGAAGACATTACAGTAATACTGAAAAATCAAGCTGACTACTCATATACTGTATGTTCAGCATTAGTTTGTTCTGTTGTTCATATGTTATTAACATTTTACAAATTACAACGTCATACTACTTTATTTCAATACATTAAAGTTTTGAACTGGTTATTT